TCGGACAAGTTCATGCAGCACATCCCCTCAAATTCCTCACATCCGTGCCCATGTGTCAGCAGCAAATGATCAATTGCCGCCCTGTTTTGAAGCACTGCTTGCCTTGCACTGTTGATGTCTGTTAACATGTCACTCAGTGCAAACGAAATGGCACGACTGTGTTTCCTCAACCAATATGCTATACAATCCAATTGTGTCAAGGCCGCCCCTGATGCTGCTTGGAATGAGAAAATTGCTACTGCAATTCTCCGAGACTTGTCCCAGGTAGAAACATCATCATCATAATTTGAACTATATTTTTCAAGGGATCCTTTCCTTTTTGAACCAAGAACACCTCTTTGACAACTTTGTCCATGGTCTGCCTCATGCACTGAGGCAAGGACAGCACAAACATTAGAAGAATTACAATACCTTATAATTACATACAACTATTTTCAAAATCTTTTTTCTACAACTGTGAAAAGTGAAACAAATTGAACACACCATCTACTTATGATTCAATTTTTCTCCATGTGTGTTTGGTCCTCTGATCTCTCTTTAAATTTATCACTCTTGTGTCCATGTGTTTACAATAGATGTTCAATTACTGTTTTGTTCCCATTTCTCACTGCTAGTTAACAAATCATTCGATGCAAAAGAAATGACATGGGCATCTTTACTCTGCCCACAACCTCTTTTGATCCAACTGCACCAAGGCTCTTTTTGATGCCACCTGCTGTGAAAGCAGAACCACTCAGTTTTTCCGAGCCTTTTTTCTTGGTATTAACATTATCATTGTAACAATTTCGATCATTTCATTCATCAGATTTTTTTCTCCTTGCTCTCTTATCAAGGTCATGCTGTGTGTTAACAAAAGATCTTTCAATGTTGCATGGACCACCCTTGATTTTTGCAGGGATAGCAGGCCAAATCCTGTCCCCGCAAATGAAAAACATTCCCTTCGGTAAAGTGGCTGGATGTTGAAAGGATGGTTTGCTTGTCATTTTGGTATGATTGCACCAAGATGACGCATTTTTATAAAAAGGCTGATTCGGAGTGACATCTATTGTATGATTATCTGTCTTTGCCACTCCTGATGAATTAAATTTGATGCACCATTTCATTTTTGTTGACCCAAAATGTCCAAATCCAGAGGTTCAAAGTGAGCAGCAGGAAGGAATTGTGTCCAAACATGTCATCCCTCCACAGGGTCTGAAAGAAACTTCAGAACCCCTGGAAGGATGTCCCCTGGGACTGACCATCCCTCCACTGGCCCACCTACCAGGCATGTTGAAAATAGTTTCTCTGGTTTCGAATGGGTCAGGCAAATGCTGTCCAGACCAGCTGCTTTTGCCAAAGTCTCCCACACTTTTTCCCTGGGTTGTCTCATGGGAAAATCTGTCCTGTTGCCCAAGGCAACAGGTGAAAGAATGAAGCACATGAACACTATCTGTCTGAATCCCATGTCCATGTCCCCACCCTCTGTGAGAAACCCCGCAATGCAGCAACACCCAAACAACACTTGATTTCCCAGAAAAAAACCCAAGTCTCTGGGTGATCAATCGTTGTCCGACGAGACGTCTGCAGCGTTGTTGTCTGCCTTCGTCTGCGTGCTTGCCTCTCTGTTTCTCGGGTCCACATCCACTGACGTCTGCACCCGATAAGGTTACATGTGCTTTGCTGGCATTCACTTCAGTCCTCGTCCTGTAGAAACACAAGCGAAACCCTCGCCCCAAGTTATTAATGTAAATGAACCTTCAATCTGTCCTGACTCTGGGCTTCTGATCAAATCGAAAGGATTTTCCCTTAGTTTTTCCTGTGGGCTGTTTGTAACATATCTGACAATTATTAGAGTGGGCTTTGAGAAAAAACCATTTAAAAAATTCAACACATTTGTTCAACCCTGCCTCATCCCTTTTCTGTCCATCCAAGTGGATTTCAGGGTGTGATGTGTTCTTTGCTTGCTTGACCTGAGGGAGAATGAAGAATATTGAAAATATGTTTGACTCTCTGTTTTTTCAAAAATTTGTCAAGCATCTTGCTTGTATAAATTGGACCATTATCTGTTTCTATTTCTTGTTGCACTCCTAATGATGTAAATGCTTATAAAAAATGTTTGCAGGTATGTTCTGTGGTCTCCCCTGTATATGATGCAAAAATCGCCCCTAAAAATGTATCAATTGAAATATGGATATTTTCGAGCCTCTCAAAAGTTGGGTATTTTGTGACATCAGCTTGCCACAGCTGAAGGCTTTTACAAACCTCTCAGATTGTCCATTCCTGTAAATACAGGAGATTGCACAAACTGGCTCTCTGGCAAGCAGATTTCCTTTGTCTGACTTTCAGAAGGGTGAAAGGTTCCCATCAATGCCTGTGCATTTTTGTGAAAACATGCATGGTTCAATTTTGCCTGCTCAAAAATGTTTGGCAGTGTCTGCAAGATGGGCATTGTGAGCCTATCTACATGAGCATTCCCTTTTACTAAGAACCTCGGAGGTGAAGAATGCACTCTGATGTGTTTATTAATGTTCTCTGTTTTTCTAGGATTATTTTCATGCATAATAGATATGAATATAAAATTTCCTTGTCTGTATGTTTTAAAAGCGATTTCTCTAATTGTTTGACCACATTTGCAACATACACTGAACTTGTGATCAGATTGAGGGTTCCTAAAATAACTGAAAAACCCCTGACTATTATTACCAATTTTTCAACTTGTGGTGAACCTTGTATCATTTTGATATTTGATTCTCATCTCCCTGTTTTTTGATTTTTTCATGTGACCACTGATTTGTGAGTTTTTTCCCAAACCATCAGTGAATACTGTCATTTCTTCCATTGGTTCCTGGCTTCTTTTTTTGTTTTTTCCCTGAAACTCACTTTTACATTTAACATTTTGTGTGTTGGAAAACGAACTGTGCAAACTTCTGAATGCCCTAACAACGTGATTGAAAAATCTTGCGACTTTGGATTGTCCACTCAAAATATTTCTTCTTTAAATGTAAATGAATGATTAAGAAATCTTTCCCTGACATTGTCAGCAATCTGGTCTCTGCCACAATAATGATCTGAGCTCCCATCTTTAAATCTGTAAGAATTGTTTTTGAGGGTCTGCAAACTAAAAAACCTCACTTTCAACTTCTGTGAAAACATTAACAAAATCCTTGCTCAAAGCTACTTATTTGAACGATTTTTTTTTTTTTCTTTCTTTCAATTTTATCTGTTCAGTGTCTAGCACTCTCTTCATATTTTTCTCAATGATCAGCAAAATCAAGTCTACAAAATAATTATATCAAGAGATTAAAACATACAAAATCTTCAACCTCATTTCAGCCTTATTTCAGGCACTTCTTCACTCCTTTTCTTTTTTCTTTTTCCTTTTTTCTCTCTTTCTCTTCTTCTCTTTTGAAACAAGAAAGTTGAAATATAAAACATAATATAGAACAAGACAAAATATCTCAATAATAAAATGCATAAAACTTATCAAAATCGATAACAATTCAAGAAAATTCAAAAGAAAGATATTCTAAATAGCATATATAAAAATGAACAAAGCATGATCATTAGAAACATTGTGACAGCATTTCAGAGTCTGCAAACAGCTGAAACATTTGTTTCCAGTGAAAACCCTTGGCATCCCTTCCCGGGCAGGGCTGGCAAGTTTCACCTCAAAACTGTGTCAGCTGTAACATTTGTAGGATCGAATTGATGGGTCAAAAATGACCTGCATATCATTTATTTTTGTGCAGAAACCTCTGAATTTTGCTGGCAAACTCATCTGTCCAAGTTAAAATCAGGGTCTGGCCAGGACCCAAACTTTAAACTGGAGAGATGTCCCTTAACATATTATATAAAACAAAACTTACACTAACAATACATATATAATACTTAAAACATAACAACCTATTATAACATTTTCTTATAAAATAAACACTTGAAGTTCAAACCGATAAACTGGTCAAATGACACAAAGATTCATTTTTCTTGAAACTCTTTTGAAGGAAAAGTATGTCAATTGGAGAAATTGTAAGATTAACAATGGCAAGAGGTTGTCAGAATGTTTCAGGCACCTCTCTCTGAGATCTTCTGAAAAACATTTGAGAATGATGAAAAATAGAAATGCAATGATTCCACTCACAAGAGATATAAAAACGAATCAGGAAGTTCACCTAGAAAAATGCACAATACAGTTAAAATCCAAAATGAGACTTCAGAACTGTCATGTAACCTGGATAAGATTACATAAACAACAATAAAACATACGAGAATTCACTATGAAAAAACGAAGCACAAATCTTCACCTGATAACATGATAAAATTTCTTAACAATAACGTTTATAGAACACTTATATAGTTAAAAATAAAGGATTTGAAAACAAATGCCTTTGTATCACTATACAAAGAAATAACAGACTATAAAACTGATTTTTAAACAATGAAATCAATCTCAGAAAACTCAAAATAAATTCTTTTACAACTCTTATATACTGATAAACTTATAATAAAACAAAAAATACTAAAACAAAACCAAGAATCCAATAAATCAAATAACTTTTCCTTAAATCAATGTTCATTATTACTTTGTGAACTGTTTCAGACAAAACCTTCTCATCCTTAAAGAAAAACAACTAAACTTTGCTGCTGAATAAACTTGACCTTTGAAAAACTTAAAATAATTTTTGAATTAAATAGTACTTAAACTCAATATATAACAATCTTAGTAAAGAATCCCTAAATTATATTAACTTTACGAAATCCATATGTATCAAATTAACAATATATAAATCCATTATCAATTAAACCTTTGTAAACTTAACTTCTTCAGGGCCCAAACCTAAAATAAACTTAAAGTGATATACTCTAATTAAACAATACTTAACTTAAACGCAAACCAACTATATAAAAATCAATTCTATCATTAATAAAACGTTAAAATACAACCTAACTTAAACCTTAATATAATAAATTACTAACATTTCATGCTATTTAATTTTCTATATCAATTTTCATTATGATATCTCTTTTTCACAATGTGTTCCACAATTATTACTTATCATCACACCGGCTGGGCGTGTCTGCTCGATCAATTTTGTGACCTAACTGAAAAAATCTGGGGTTGGTGTTTAGAAACATTGGGGAGATTTGAAAAAGGCCTTGTGTTGGCTGGTTTTCAAAAAGCGACTGATGGAATTTTATTTCAGGGTGAAAATTGGGAGTCCCATTCCTCAGCATTGCTGCAGGATATTTGCTGCTTGTAAAAGATTGTTTGCTGTTGTGATTTTTTGTTTGCCGCGGCATGAGAGCACTGGGAGCATTTCTGGTGCAGTCAAACCCCGCTTCTGCCTGCGTTAGGATGGCTGTGCCCCTCTCTCTTGCTCACACCCATTCTCAGCCACTTCCGCGTTCGCTTTAACTCTCGCAAACGCATGCGCAGCCTTGATTCACCCTCTGTTTGTGTCGCCATGGGAACAAGGGAAGGAACTCCCGCACCGACCGCGCCCGCCTGCACCGGCTCCGCGCGGCCGTCCCTCGGGAACGTCCCCCCCCATTCTCTCTGTCAGGCCTGGAGCCACCCCGGTCTCGCTCTGGGTCGGCCCGCGCCGTCCCCGAGCCGCTGCTGGAGCCCAGCGCGATTCGGCGCTCTGCTGACGTCATCGGCACGCGCCGCCGCGTTCCGCGCTGTGCAGCCCCGCGCCGCGTCCCGCCCGGCCCCGCGCCGCTCGGGTCTCCCCCCGCGGCCACCGCGCAGTCTGCGGACGGCTGGCTGGCGGCCACCGCCGCCCCCGACGCCGTCTGCGCCCGTGCCCGTGCGTTCAAGGTGCAGGAGATCTCCGCTCCGACTTCCGGGTTTTGCTCTACCGTCTCGCGCATGCGCGCTGCCATCGCCGCAGCGACAGGAGAGTCCCGCTCTCCGTCCAGCCGCCGGCCTGGCCAGCGCCGCTGCTGCGAATTGGGAGCTATTCCCCGGCACCTGCCGGACGGTGCTTTCGCACTCTCACGGATTCCCGTCATGGAACGCATCACCGGGCGCTCCAGGCGTCTGACCGCCGCCCCCGCGCTTCCGCCGCCTCCTGCGTCCGCTGGTTCCCACTGCCCCCCCCCCTCGCCTGCACCGCGGGCTGTTTTGAACTCCCCACCCGCGCAGCTGCGAGAGTTCTCTCCTCTCTCTCACTTTTCCCTCCGCTCTGCACTCACGACTGCCCCTCCCCCCAGGAGCCGCCGGCGCCGCTGCCCCCCCACTGTGGGTTCGGACTCGGGCAATGGCCAGTCCTTTCCTCCACCGAGGGCTGCGTCTGTGCCTGGCTTATCTCTCACTGTCTGGGGATTTTCTGCAGCTGAGGAGCTTAGAAATTGAGATTTGAGGAGTCTTGAGGAATAGTGTGAACCCGGGGACACAGGACATGATGAAAAACCACCCCCCCTGATCCTCTTCGGGAGGCAATTTGCTTCCCCTGGTGAGGAAAATTGCCCGAAGCTGCTGGCTGGGCCATCTTCCTCCTTGTGCTCCCATAGGAGCCTTAGCTGTTCAGTCTAAAATGCCGCGTTGTGAAAATGACTCTTATTGTCCTTGCTAAAGGCAAAAGCTTTTGCGGCAGTCTTATCTCTCTTGTTTTTCTTTTTCCTGTGGCTCAGTAATACAGTTGCTTATTGATCCCTTACGAAAATTTAACTCAAACAAAAGATGTACATCTGTGTGCGGGTGAGTATACTGCACCCACAATAACAAAGCTTTCATCTCATTTGAGGCTATCTCTACCAGATGGGTAAAAGTCTTGCCCTGTAGGGCTGAAAAAATTTTTTGTCTGTCCTTGGGAGCATCCCTTCCCCATGTTCTTAATTTCAACCATTCTCACCAAAAGCTGAGTCAGCACGAGGTCAGTCCGGAGATGGCACTGTTCATCGTCCAGCAGGTCACAGGCGAGAAATCCCAGGCGCGCTTCTGGTTTTCCTCCTCCTGGCTGTCCTCCAGACGAGCTGTCTTGGTGAAGGTCAGGTTCTTATCTTGAGCTTTCTGCTCCCTCTCCTCCCGGAATCTGCCGAGAGCATTTGTGCTCTGTTCTTCTTCCTTTTTTTATTTTTTTGTTTTTCTCTGCTGATGAAGGTTGGAGGTTGTTTGCTGTTTCTTCTTGTTCTTCTTGCTGATGCCCGCCAAGGGACGCCAATTGTCGGAATCTGTGGGTGTTGGTGATTCCGAGATTGTAGAAAGTCTCTGTCTTTCTGCCCCGTTGCCAAAGAAGAAGCCATAGTTCGTCCGTGCTGGTTTCAAGGTTGTTTATTTTTGCTTATCTATAACAAGTTCTGCTGCCCTGCCGCAGGTCTGTCCTGCAGGGCAGTGTGCGGGGCTCTGCCCCTCAGTGGGATGGTACAAACATTATATACAAGAAATTACGTGTACTATATTTACAATAATGTGCCAATATCTATCATCTACGTTGAATAGTGTGTCCCTAGCCTAAACCAATAGAAAAATGCCAACATCACCAAGAACATGGAGGTAAGGAAGAAGAAGGAGGAAGAACAGGTTCAGGCCCACTTTCCTCCATCTTAGAACTCCTGACCCCCCTGTACAAAGTAAAACCCCCCTGTACATGTGTTAAAACCCCCCTGTACAATACTAAAAAATTTTACCCTCTAATTTGTGACTACTTTTACTATATCATCTAACCCTCTGTGACTGCTTGTTCCACCTTTAAAGTTGGTAATTCATTCCATGGTTCAAACTCAAGATCACAGCTGTTTTCAGCTGCTTGCCAGGGTCTAAAATGCTTCTGACCAAGGCCTGGAACCTCTAAAAATGTCTGAGGGACATTTTGAGTTCCGACAGGCTCACATCCTGCTGATGCCATCTCCGAAGACAATCAGCCCTGTCTGCCATGAGAACACACTTCTGGTTCATGTTCACCTTCAATCAACCAAGATGCTGAGCTCTTGATCTGCAAAGCTACTTCCCAGCCCATTATTCTGCAGCCTGTCCAGGTGATTTGGATTATTTCTCCCCAGAAGGTGGGCCCCACATTTCTCATTGTTGAACTTCATGAGATACCTCTTTGTCCAATTTTCCAGTCTGTCCCTTCTAACAGGCAGCACATTTGCTTGCTCACACCTTTGTATTGCCTGAGAATTTTTGAGGATGCACTCTGCCCCATCATCTAGGCTATTAGCAAAAATGTTAAAGGATATTGACCATGGTATGCGTCCCTGAGGTGCACCATTAGTCACTGCCACCAGCAGTGGCAGTGTCACTCATAACAACACTCCTCTTATAACAACACTCTGGACCCATTTTTTCATCAGCTCTCAATTAATTTATCCACTCCATCAGTTTCTCTATGAGTATTTTATGGGAAGTAATGTTGCAAACCTTGTTTAAAGTCAAGGAAACAGCCCTTTTTCTCTCCCTCTCCACTGAGCCTTTTTGTAGAAGCTAACAGGCTGAACAGCCATGGCTTTCTCTTTGTAAATTTATGGTGACAACTCAATAGTCAGCACTTTCTTCTCCATGCATCTGGAAATGGCTTCCTGGAATATATGCTCCATTCCAACAAATCAGTGTGAGGCTGGTAGGTCTGTAGTTCCCAGGATCTTCCTTCTTCCCCTTCTTTATAAAGGAGTGACATCTGTTTTCTTCTAGTCCTGAGGAATGTCTTCATATCACCACAACCTCTTAGAATTAATCAAGAGAGGTTCTGCAATGACACCAGATTCCTTCCTTAGCTCTTACAGATGCATCCCATCAGCTGCCATGGATTTAAGGTTTTATACAGATTGTTTAATAATTCCCTAACTTTTCCACCCTACCAAAACAAAGTACACCCTGCTGTGGTTTTCCTGCTGGCCTCATCACCTGCCACAAATCAGAGATTTATTTTCTCTCACATCTCCCCATCCCTGCATTCCCAGTTTGTCCCTTCTGAAGAGCCCATATTCACTCAGTGTAGAATCTGTGAGATATATCACCACCTTTCTATGAGCCTAATGACAGCATAACTCTGCTAAACCACAATAGAACCCTCATTTCTCCTGGTCATGTCCCACATTGTATGTGTTGGTGTAGGACCATTTCAGAGTGGGACCCCAACATGCTGGTGTCCCAAAAATGGTAAGATTTCCCCACAACTCTCTCTGGTATGGCCTTGCTTCTTTGTGGGGGGTACCCCTGTGATGGACCTCCTTTAGCTCTGTTTTGTTCATAACAAGCTCCTTTCATTTGTCCCATATTCTTTGTTGGTCTACCACTTTCTCATCTTGTGGTGATCCCCTCTCCATCCACAGATCCTAGTTTGCAGTTCTCTATCAGACTGACCACCCTGTTGCCAAAGATACTTTTTTTGTCCTTGGTCAGGCAGATCCCATCTCTTTCAAGCAGGCTTCAGTTCTCTAAGAGAATCTCATGGTCCTAAGCACCAGAACCCTGTTGCCAACACAAAAGGCAAATGTAACTGTTGACCTGCAAGACATGCCTACTCCTCCAGCCCTTGCCTCTCACTCACAGGATCAAGATGAAAACCCCCCTTGGTACCCAGTGACCATTAGCCCAGACACATGTAGTTGTCCTTGCTAATTTGCAGGTCCCCCTGGCAGTAACTGCAGTGACAGTCCCATGTCTGTGTTAGAGCAGATGGGTGATGGGTAAGAGCTGAGCTGCCCACAGAAATGGGCCAGGCAAGGGGAGTTTCTACAGGGCTAATGAACACTCACATGGAGCATCATATCCAGGAGTTGTAACAGCAGCCTGTGAGCTGCACTAGACTTCCTGCATACTGGTATGGCAATGTATTTCTCTTGCAGAAGACCACTTTTGCAATCCAAGCAGTTTTTAAAGAGTCTTAATACTTTTTTTTCTATTTAGAAATACAGGTAAACAGGTTTTCTGAAAGTTTCAGGAGTCTGGATAAGAGCTGTCAGCCAGAAAATGCAATTGTTCCAGCATCAAAGTGTATTACAAAGCGGATCCCTTATTTAAAATCAAAAATACACGCAACCTTACAAAAAAAAAGTGACCGCTCAACAGAATCAAATTAATTTATGTAATGCTAAGGAGATAAATCTTATTTGTTTTCACCTCCTCAGTTTCATTCTTGCTTTCTTATTCTGTTAAGCCATTTATAACACTTTGTTGCAAATTTCTGATAGAATCATAGAATTGCAGAAGTTTGGGTTGGAAGGGACTTTTACCAATTATCGTCCAATCTTGATGTGCCCAGAGATGCCTTTCACTAGATCCTGTCAGCCTTTCATGGGGTTAAAAATGTTGTGCAGTTTTTTCACCTGTAAAAGCTGTAGCTTGAGTTTCACTTTATGGAAATATAAATTAAAAAATAATAATAAACCAATAAAGAAAAATAGGGTTCCTCATCCTGTTTTTTTCCACATGTTTCTTCAAGAATCTACATTGCCAGAGGAACACATCAGTACCAATTAGAAATTTGTGACCACAAGTCCATGGGTCTGTCCAAATAACGTAAAACCCCACCAATAACCCTGGACCAGGAGTGCTTTTTTGACTATATGTCAGCAAATAATGTGGCCTGGGGCTCAGAAGTCTGTCTGACCCCAGTTGCTGCTGCCACAGGTGTCTGGATAGCGCTGGGCTATTAGGCTCAGCCTATCTGGGTCCCTCAGGCTAGCTCCCAGCCGCAGGCAACTTAGTGAGCAACTCTGGAGTGATTTCAACTCTGGTGAATTCATTCACTCTGTGCTCACCAGTTCCTTAGGCAGACACAGGGAGATGGAGAGAGGAGAAGGCTGTATGCGGTTCCATAGTGGTCTCCTTTAATTTCAGCTCCTGTGAAGGGGGCAGTGACAGCTCTTCTGCTGAACTGGGCAGAGATGGGGGTTGATATAGGGTACAGGGGTGTTGGAAATTGTCCAATGGCCAGGGTTGCAGAGAATACGACTTATAGCCTTACAGAGAGATAACAAGGATCTGAATGCGGAAGAGGGGCTGCTTTCGTCCAGTCATCGTGACTAGGCATTTCTTATCTTAGGCAAGTGACCACCAGGGAGGCCTTGCAGGGCCTCTGACTGCTACAAGCAAATATTGAGCAGTAATGACTGACTAGATTTCATGTGGCTTAGCTATCAGCAACCACAGTGACAGTGCAGGATAGCCACATAAATGTTTGCAACAGAGAGGAAGCTTCACAGGGTAAATCAGCATAAACCAGCAGTAAAATTCAGAGTTCAATATATTGCAATTGCAGGAAATTACAGAAGATGCTGCAGTGAGTACTGAAATAGAGGAAAGCAGTTTTTTACATTATGATTGTAAAAAACAATTATTCACAGAAAACCAGGAAAAGCAGGTTGATAGAGTATGATGGCTGTGGGTGGTTAGGAGGATGCTGGTAAAACTGGCTGAAAACAGCCCTGCAGCCTGGACAGCCGGGTTCAACCACCAAACTTTGGGTTTGATGCTGTTTGTTTAGGCTTCCAGCTCTGGGCAGCCATTCCTTCTCTACCTCAAAAGCTTAATTCTGGTGTCCATGGTGGAGACAAGTTCAGGATGCTACCTCAAAAGCTTAATTCTGGTGTCCATGGTGGAGACAAGTTCAGGATGCAAGCGCAGACTCTTTAGCCAGTATAGGGACTGGCAGGCAGCCGAGCGGCTGAGGCAGTGGTGGCACAGCCCAGCCGTCGAGCTCAGATA